TAGCTATGTAAAACCTGGTAATATATGAATTTTATGGTTATTTCTTGTTGAAAAGAAGAATTCATAAGATCAAGAATCAAGTCAATTAGCATAGTATAACTCGGGTTATTGATTTTTAAAGTTAGACATGCAAGTTGAACTTTACATGCACGAATTCAGCTGCAACTTCAAACGCGAATAACTCGAGTTATACTCAGGATAAAATTGTGAAATTTTATGGACATGTTTATATATGAGTTGGGAGCTTGTATATCAAATCTCATGATTTTATCTTAAGAAACAAGTGAGTTATATATTTTAGACCGTATACATGTCATGCTGAAATTTATAGTCATAGAACTTCCTCAATACATGCGTATTTGATGTCAAATTTTAATGAAAATTTTTTGTATGAGTTATGATTATAATCACCAAGTTTCAGCTTCAGAAGCTAAGTGTGGGATTTTATAAAATTCCGAGAAGTTATATGGGTCAAATGCATGTTTAAGTGCAAAGTTTATGTAGTTGGTTGACCAAGCTAATGACATGATAATGAGCTGAAATTTTAATTAGAGGTGCATGTCTATGTGTATTATTTAACTGCTAAGTTTCAGAATTTTTAGAGTTAAATATGATTTTATAAAAATCATGAGATTTGAGGGTTCCTTTAGCTTATTTTATTAAAATAAGTTAGCATACTTAGACTTGAGTGATTATCTCTCAGTTAGTATTATTTAAATATGATATGTTTGATTTAATATTTAAGAGTTATCTGAGTAGATATATTTCTTGAATATTTTGGTAGCTTAAGGAGAGTCGAGCCTCCGACAGCTACCCAACATTTCAGCACTTGCGTCAGTCAGATATTATTACAGTATTCCAGGTGGGGGTCATGTACTGGGTTCCACATCATATATAATATCTGTACCATGGCAGAGGTATGTTCGAGACAGTTAGTTTCTCCAGGTGGAGGCCGAGGGCCTTAATATCCCATCTGGAGACCCGGTGGAGGCCAAGGGCCTTAATATCCCATCGGGGTGTGCACACGAGCGGCCAAGGCCGAGGGTCTTTTGACCACAGTAAAGCAAGAAAAAAAAAGTTTACAGTTTCATCTCTTATATATTTATGTTCATGACACGATATTATAAATGTTGTTTTATTCAGTACTGGTCTTTGCGGAGCATAGTGGTTTGCTCACGCCCCCATTGTGCTTTTCAGGAGACGGAGTCGAGCGTGCCGGGTGAGCATAGATGTGGCAAAGCGTGGTCATGAGAGTCTTGGACATTTTTACGCACATTTTATGTCCTAGTATTTATGATCATGTATTTTCGGATATGTATGCATGTATTTCTGTATTTCGGACGCTTCCGCTAGCAGACTAGACAGTGCGAGACGGTTCAGACATTGCATGTTTAATTCCATTATCCGTAGCGGATAGTTTGGTTGCGTGTTATATATGTCTGTGAGCAAGTTAAGTAAGTTTTTATCTGTTACATCCCGCAATCAGTTAGTATTTTCGAAAACCAAGCTCGCACGACCTTTCGAAAATAAAAGCAAAAATTTTACTTTGATTTTCAAAGCTAGTAAGGCGGGGTGTGACAGAAGCTGGTATTAGAGCGCAGAGTGCGTTTCTGTATACTTTCAAAGTTAGAAAAGCATGACCACGCCACGCTCATCCCGCACCGACTCCGAGGTAAGTCACCTGACTCAGTTTAAGTTTTGCAAGTGCTAAATTCAGTTTAAGTATGGGGCCTAGATAACTATCCTCCTGTAAGACAAATAACTCTAGAGGCAGAACTCTAGACAGAACTCTAGAACAGCTAAGTCCAAGGACTCTAGACTAAGTCAGAACTCCATTTTGAGCCAGAACATAGAAAGTTTAAGTATACCAGAACTCTAGCCAAGCTAGGTGTTTTCGGACCTTACTGGTTATTTTATTATCTCAAGTCTAGTATGGCTATTTCTTAATTGGCTATACTGATCAATTCAAGTATTTTTGGATCTCCAGAATGCCGCCACGCAGAGATCCTCAAGTCGCAGTCGAGCAGGACCAGGCTGTTGTGGTCAGTCAATTTCATACCTATGATCCGCCCCGTTTCTCTGGGGAGAATGGCCCGCTAGCTGTGGCTGAGTGGATTCGTAAAATGGAGCGGGTCTTTCGTATTATGGGTATTTCTGAGGCGCATAAGATGGCTTGCGCCGAACTACAGATTGAGGGTGCCGCAGGAGATTGGTGGGAGGATTACTGGCATCTCAGCACCGAGGATGAGCTTGAGGCCATGAGATGGTCGCAGCTTAAGACGCTCATGGAGGATAAGTTCTACCCTCGCCATTTTCGTCAGAGGATGGTACGGAAGTTTTCTACCCTCAAGCAGGGCCAGCGATCGGTGGATGAATACGATCGTGAATTCGCTCGTATGAGTGTCTTCGCTCCACACTTTGTAGAATCAGAGGAAAAGAAGGCCCACCAGTTCCTCGAGGGATTGAGGAATGACATCCGACTGTTGGTGGCCAGCCATGGTTACCTTGAGTACGCCGAGACTGTTGAGCGAGCTCATCAGGTTGAGGCGTATATCCAGCGGGATGCCATTGACCAGCCGCCAGCCAGACAGCCAGCACCACCCCAGCCAGCTCAAAAGAAAAACAAGAGAAAGTGGGACGATCGTGAGGATAAGAGGAACCGTGGACAGAGGGGCCCAGCTTAGGTGGGCCAGCCAGCTCGGCAGGATCTGCCGGTATGCGCTACTTGCGGACGTCAGCACTGCGGAGAGTGCCTAGCTGGGCAGAACATATGTTACCATTGCCGCCGCCCAGGACATCTGAGCAGAGACTGCCCAGACCGCCCTCAGCCGCAGCAGGGCCAGAGACAGCCAGCCCAGAGACAGCCCGCACAGAGGCAGCCAGCACCGAGACAGCCAGCCCAGAGACCCCCAGGACAGCAGCAGCAGCGTGGAGCACCCGCCAATATTTACGCGCTTGACCAGGACCAGGCCGCAAGGCAGCCAGGTACCATGTCTGGCATGTTATCTTTGTTCCATACTCCAATCTTCACTTTATTCGATACCGGGGCGACCCATTCATTCGTCTCGGCCAAGTGCTTGTCTGTCTTAGGGGCCCAGGGAGTGAGTACTGTTGACCCTCTCGAGATCAGTCTCACATCGGGAAGGAAGATAGTTACGAGTTCCCTGGCCAAGAACCTTAGCATCGATATCGGGGGCCGAGCTCTTGTCGTAGACGCGTTTGTGATTGATATGAATGGCTTTGATTTAATTCTTGGCATGGATTGGTTGGCGAGATACGAAGCAGACATCCGTTGTCGTGATCGGGAGGTGACGCTACATTTATCCGAGGGAGACCACATCACGTTCTTCGGGATGAAGTCTCGAACCTTACCGCGCGTTATTTCCATGGCGAAAGCAACGAAGTACATGCAGAGAGAGGATTGTAAGGGATTTCTTGTCAACATTGTTGGGGAATCTTCGGAGAAGCTGTTTCCCGGAGATATACCCATTGTTCGTGAGTTTGTGGATGTTTTTCCCGATCAGCTTCCGGGAGGCCCACCTAACCGCCAGGTGGAGTTAACAATCGACTTAGTCCCTAGAGCGGGACCTGTGTCAAAAGCGCCATATCGCATGGCACCGAAAGAGCTTCAGGAGTTAAAGGCTCAAATTCAGGAGCTGTTGAGTCTCGGTTTCATCCGACCGAGTGTTTCACCTTGGGGAGCGCCTGTCCTCTTTGTTAAGAAGAAGGATGGGTCTATGCGTATGTGCATCGACTACCGGGATCTAAACCGGTTGACGGTGAAGAACAAGTATCCACTTCCAAGAATTTAGGATTTATTCGATCAGCTGAGGGGAGCCAGTGTATTTTCCAAAATCGATCTCCGCTCTGGTTACCATCAGCTAAAAATCAGAGAAGCCGACGTGGCCAAGACAGCTTTCCGAACTAGATACGGTCATTATGAGTTCGTTGTGATGCCGTTTGGTTTGAGCAATGCGCCAGCGGTATTCATGGATCTTATGAACCGTGTCTTCCATCAATTCCTGGACCAGTTTGTCATCGTCTTCATTGATGATATTTTGGTCTATTCCAGTAGCCCGGAGCAGCATGAGGAGCACTTGAGAACCGTTTTGGAGACTCTTCGGCGTGAGAAGTTATACGCCAAGTTCTCAAAGTGCGAATTTTGGCTCGATCGAGTTGCTTTCCTAGGCCATATCGTCACATCTAGAGGAATTGAGGTAGACCCAAGCAAGATTGAAGCAGTTCGAAACTGGTCGAAACCAAGAAATGCCACCGAGGTTCGGAGTTTTCTCGGTTTGGCAAGATATTATAGACGTTTCATCAAGGGGTTTTCGAAGATTGTCCTACCCTTGTCCCGTTTGACGAGGAAATCGATGAAGTTTGAGTGGGATAGTCGTTGTGAGTCGAGCTTTCAGAAGCTCAAAGCGAGGCTTACGATGGCACCTGTGTTGACTATTCCGGACCCCACACAGGGCTTCACTATCTATAGTGACGCCTCGAAGCAGGGTTTAGGCTGTGTTTTGATGCAAGACGGCAGGGTTGTGGCTTATGCTTCCCGTCAGCTAAACCCGCACGAGGTGAACTACCAGACTCACGATCTTGAGTTGGCTGCAGTGGTTCACGCTCTGAAGATTTGGAGGCATTATCTATACGGAGGCCACTGCGAGATTTACACAGACCACAAGAGCCTACAGTATATCTTCACGCAGAAGGAGCTCAACATGCGCCAACGGAGATGGTTGGAGCTAGTGAAGGATTATGACTGTACCATTAACTATCATCCTGGCAAGGCGAACGTAGTTGCTGATGCCCTCAGCCGGAAGGGAAAGGGTGAACTGACTTGTATGATCACTCAACAGCGTCAGTTGATTCATGAGTTCGCTCGAATGCAACTAGAAGTGGTCGAATCACCTCCTAAGTTGCCAGTTGTGGGAGGTATTCGAGCGATGAGAATGTCGCCCACGCTACGAGATAGGATACAGAGGGATCAAGCCTTCGACGAGTTCGTTCGCTCGATGGGGGCGAAGATTAATGCCGGAGGAGTAGAGGGATTTTATTGAGGCACAGATGGTGCCCTGGAGTACAAAAGAAGAATCGTTGTGCCGAATGTCGAGGCCCTGAAGAAAGAGATCTTGACGGAGGCGCATAGTGCACCATACTTGGCACACCCCGGTAGCACCAAAATGTATCACGACTTGAAAGGGTCATTTTGGTGGAAGGGAATGAAGCGAGACGTCGCCGAGTTTGTTGAGAAGTGCTTGATTTGCCAGCAGGTGAAAGCGGAGCACAAGGTTCCACCGGGTCTCTTACAGCCTTTAGAGATCCCGCAGTGGAAGTGGGAGAAGTTGACCATGGATTTTGTCACGGGATTACCGGTGTCGGCCAAGCGTCACGACGCGGTATGGGTAGTAGTGGATCGACTGACAGAGTCGGCCCACTTTATGCCTGTCAGGATGGACATGTCCATAGAGCAGCTAGCCGAGACGTATCTCCAGGGAATCGTTCGACTTCACGGCGTTCCTGCCGAGATTATATCAGATAGAGATCCTCGATTTACTGGCCATTTTTGGAAGAGTCTTAACGAGTCCATGGGGACGAAGTTGAAGTTTAGCTCCGCTTACCATCCGCAAACCGACGGCCAGTCGGAACGAACCATTCAGACGCTTGAGGACATGCTTCGAGCTTGTGTTCTAGAGCGAGGTGGTTCGTGGGAGGAGTTGTTACCCACTGTGGAGTTTGCCTACAATAACAGCTATCATTCGTCGATCAAGATGGCACCATTTGAAGCTTGTACGGTCGTAAGTGCCGCTCACCCCTTTACTGGGATGAAGTTGGCGAGAAACAGGTTCCCGGTCCCAAATTGATCGAGGACACGGTGCAGAAGGTAGCCGAGATCCGAGCGAAGCTGAAAGAGGCACAGAGCCGACAGAAGGCCTATGCTAAAAAGCGTAGAAGGGAGCTTGAGTTTGAGCAGGGAGACAAAGTGTTTCTGAATGTCACACCAATGAAAGGCGTTGTACGCTTTGGGAAGAGGGGGAAGCTGCAGCCCCGATTCAT